TCTTTCTCCCCAACAGTGGCTGGGATTTCAAACTGCTCGCCTTGGAGGGAGCATCCCTTGCTCTACCTCAGGGCCTTGGCACCAGCTATTCTCTCTGCCTACAATGCTCTGTCTCCCCATCCGTGGTCTGGTGGTTTCTTCGCGTGTTTCTGATCTCTACCTAAGTGTCGCCTCCTCAGAGAGACCGCCCCCTGACTTCCACCTCCACTTCCTACCACATGTTGGCCTCCCCTGCTCTTTCTCTCTTGGCCTCTTGACTTCTCCATCCTTAGTACTAATTCTACGGTTCCATGTATATTTTCTCACTGCCTACCCTGAGACCTCTTCCCTTAGAGGCAGGGAGTCTGGACCCAGACAATAGTGAAAGAAGAAAAGGCAGTGGGGGGGTGGGAAGAATTGAGGCAGAAGTTGGATTTCCTCTTGTCAAGAGTCTCAGAGGATTCCCGATGGGGTGACTTGGTCTCTACGAGGCTCCTTCCACATAATTTCTTCAGTGAAAATATAAAGTGTGTTCCTTGTCTCGTGAAGAGGCACATTCACAGTTAAGACTCAAGCCTCATCTCCCCGGGTCTGTTGGGCAGGCAGCTCTTCCCAACATCAAGAAGGGCACCATGTTCTGTCTGCCGACTGAACTCCCGATGCAGTATCTCTGTGAGAGGGAAGGGGAAAGCATGGGTGGTGTGGCCAGGCATCTTCCCATGCCATTGGTCAGCTCTGTCACACGGCCCCTCCTGGCTCCACAGGAGGGTGAGTAGCAGTCTTAAGGAGGATGCAGCAAAGAGGAAAAGGAGCAGCCTTTGGGAACGCACAGCGTGACATCTTCTTGCCGGTTGGGGAATAGCCATGGCCACTGAGAGCTTGTCCGGGAGCTTCTCCGTCCAGCCTGAGAGCCCGGTCCGTGCCTGTGCACGTTCTGAGCAGCTAGTTTCTAGCTGGAGCCCACAGTGGTGCAGACAGACCGGAACTCAACTCCTCACCCAAAGGCTGGCAGGTTGAGCCGCCCAGAGGCACCAAGGAAGACAAGCCCGGCTGCTGCGGGGCCACAGCCTGGCGAAGCCTGAGGAGCAACTTTTCGCGTCTTCAAGGGGCCGCCAGGAGCAGGAATTGACTCGGTGGCAGCGAACAATGGTGTCTTTGCCCGAGCCAATAGTACACTGTCTCCGAGATAAATCCTCCAAGATAGAGGGTGCTCTTCTACCCTGCAGAGTGTGCTGTCAGCTTTGGGAGTAGATTCAGGACCCCGTTAGGATGGACAGCCAGGCCCCAGCTCTCACAAAGCGCTGGACTGGGGAGAGACGTGAACGGTGTGAGAGACAGGTGGCTGAGCCAGGCTAACGATGGGGCAAGAGCGCAGGATATGAGACCCCCACACCCTGCTGACTAAGGGGCTCTGGAATTGTCACCTTGATACTGAACTCTTCTTTGTTCCTCCCCAAGCTTGGACACGCCCCCCTCCTCTGCCTGCTCCCTTGTGGTACCTCAGGACATCCTGGGACAGTGATGTCCACCAAGCCCAGCTCCGACCTCCCTCTCCTCTACACAGCAGTCACAAAACAGCAAGTCTGTTTTCCCAAAACCAAGAAGGTTTCTGGGGCTGGCCAAACAGAGCCCCAGCACATAGAGGGGTGTACAGGTAACCCTGCCCCCCACCTGTCCATCACTAGACCAGGCCGGCTTTCCTTTCTCTTCAACTTTTGACTGTGACTTGGGGGAGGTTTGCAGTGCCCATCTTCCGTTTTCTCTCCAGCCATCCACACACACCTGGTTCCACTGCGGCCCCCCCCATGTAACATCAGCTATTCCACCTCCTCCCTCCCTGTGTTTCCTGTTTCCATCCCTTCCTCCTGCCCAGCCCTTCTGCACTCTGTCCTGGGGTACGACCTGCTGCCCTTTCCATCCTGAAGGGCGGATTCTTCTAAGGTGTCCCTACCTCGTGAGCGAGTATCATTGTTCCCCTTGTAAACTCCTCTGTTGTTTGGCAGAGAATTGAGCCAGCGGCGGTGAGGCCAGTTCTAGACCTGAAGAGGGACTAGGGGCCACAGTCTCAGGGGCCTCGCCAGTCTCATCAGCCAGTCAGCCTGGCCCCTCATGATTTGAGTCCCAGGCTGTCACTTGTTAAGATGGGGACCTGTATGACTCTCTCCCTCTCCTGTTGCCCAACAGGACGGGCTTGTGATGGGCATGAAGGGGTAGAGGGGCTCTAGCTCACTGGGTGTTTGTCTGCTCTCTCTGTTGGGACATTTGGCCCCACTCTCAGCCTGCTGGTCCCCACAGGCATTATTCCGTCTGTCTGTCCTTGGTGCTGGCCCTGGGAACACCCCAGAGCCACTCTGGCCAGAGTTCTCCCGATTGTGTGCAGGGCTTCCAGTACAGACTTGGATCCCTCTCTCTAGGAGTAGAGAGTGTGGGTGTTGAGGCTAGAAACCCTGCCGACCACGACCTGGAAGGCACAGGGCCCCAGCTCCATGACAGGGTACTGCCACCTCCCCCCTTGCCCTCTGCCTCCTCCCACTGGGGAACCAAAGCCTGTTTGTCCAGGGCTTGTTGAGGGTCCCTGAGAGCTTCTGTTTCACCCCAAAAGGCCCTGACAAGCACACCAGTCATCCCCCTTCACCCAGTCTCTACCCGATGGTAGAACGCCAGGGTCCCAGAAAGGTCCTGAGTCCCTCTGGCAGGTAGCGGACAAGAGCAGGGGCAGCTGAGACCTGTAGGGGGGCGGGCATTGTGCTGTGTGGAGCAGGCTCGTGCTGGGGTCAGAACCTGTGAACGGGCGAGTAGTGGAAGCCAGAGCGGGGCCTGTGGAGCTGTCCTTGGCAAGCCTAAGGGCCATCGGGAGCCACTGGTGGCTTGGGAGCAGGGCAGTGATAAACCATGTACTGAAAGTCCGGGACAAGCAGCCTTACTTACAGGCAGCAGAGCCTAACTGGGGGTGGGGGTGGGGGCCGGGCCAGCACTGCACTCTGGGTGTGGAGGACTCCAGAAGGAAGCTTCAGTGGGAGGAGCATCTGCTGGGGCCACCCCTGAAGAAGGCTCTTGTCCCTTCACAGGCAAAGAGCAGATGGCCCTGGGGGCACGTGGAGGCACAGTGGGCAGTAGACGAGTAGGGGGTCCACAGGACGTCCATTGAGGATCACCCACTCAGAATCCTGGAGCCCAAAAGTGAGATGGGCCCCCCCCACCGGAATCCACCAGACCCACCCCCTCAATTTACAGATGATGAGACTGAGGGCCAACGACAGGCGGGGACATAAGCCACTCAGCATGTCTCCTGCACCAGTGTTCTGCCCTGATCACCAGGCACCCACGCCCTTCTATTGCCCCGTCCTCCCTCTCCCAGGAGGTCACCTGCCCCTGTCACCCCCTTAGCAGGCCAGGAGGGCCGCCCACCCAAGGCTTGCTGAACAATCAGCAGCGGGGGCTGAGGCTGAAAAGGGAGGGTTGGCAGCCATAAATCTCTTCAGAATTTTAAAAGGAGCTGGGGAATATTGACATGAATTAAATCCAATAAAACATTCATTTAATTAAACTTTAAATGATCCAAATATTTGCTGTTTGGTTAATATTTGTGTAGCTGACAGGAGCAGAATTATGATGGTTCTGTCAGTATCCATGCATTCTAATTTTGCTTGGGCATTGTGCGTATAAAGTCCGGTCTTCACACAGACAGACCGGGTGCACTCGGGACGCATGCACGCCCAGCACTCACAGCCGGGACCGGGTGCACTCGGGACACATGCACGCCCAGCACTCACAGCCGGGGCCGGTGGGCCCACCTTTTTCTTTGTCTGTTTGGTCTATGGTTTGTTTTCATGGAATTTTTTTTTAGCCTCATAGGCCCTTTCCAACCCTTTTCTCTAAAAATATAATTTGGGCCCCCAAGGGGAGGGGCCCTATATTCAAATGAGGCCTGCTGGTGTAGTGGTGATGCACTGCCAGAGGACGCTTTCGGAACCCACAGGGGCCGTTCCGCACGGGGTTGGAATAGACCCCGTGGCAGTGAGTTTGAAGACCCCACCTGCCTCCCCAGCCCCGCCCTGCCCCCCTTTCCATCTTCCAGAACCTCCCCTCCTATCCTCTAAGGCCGGGGTTCTCAATCTGTGGGACAAGAGCCCCTTTGGGGATTGAATGACCCTTTCACAGGGGTCCCCCGATTCATAACAGTAGCAAAATGACAGTGATGAAGTAGCAATCAGAATAATTTTATGGTTCAGGCATCACCACCACATGAGGAACTGTAGGAGATGGCCGCGGCCTGAGGAAGGTGGAGAAGCACTGCTCTAAGGCACTGACTCGCAGGTCTCAGGGTACCACGGAAGCCCCTGGAATACCTGTTAAAATCTAGTGTCTACCAGTGCTGGGCAGGAGTTGTTTTTTATCACACTTGCTCAATGTGATGCAGGTGGTTGGGGCCACGGTTGAAAACGGCAGGTCTAGGACCCAGGGGAAGCCATGCCTCCTCCAGGTGCACCACCCTGATTGCCAATTTGATCTTTTTTATTGTGGTCATCCTGGAAACTAACCAGTTCAGGGTGACTAACCTGACTTCTTCACCTGCACCATCCACCGGCCACTGAGAGAAAGATACAACGAAATGCCCAGTCCAGTGTAAAGCTTAGTCCAAGCCGAGCGTTGGAGCATGCCAGGCATCCCGCCCGCTGCCCCAGCGCCTCTCCAGGCTGGCGGTCTCTGCTTTCTGCTCTGAGAGCTTCCGTTGCCTTTCTTCACCGAGGTGAGGCCTGGGCGTTCTTGTGCCGGGTCCTTTCAGCTGGGAATGCCTCCATCCGCCCATTGGCACCCCACACCATGCAGTTCCATCCGCCCTGGGCCGGTGGTCGAATCTGCAGACCTAGAATGCCAACAACGTGCAGAGCCCCCAACCCAGAGACAGATTTTAAGTACCCGGAGCATAACTTGAGGCTGGGCGCCACTTGAGAGGGGCCGCGGCATTCCCATTGTGCTGGCCAGCTGCAAGAGATCATTCAGAAAGTCGACCGTAGTGCTCCACTGTTGCAAAGACCAAAGGGGGATCTTGCTCTGCAGGTGCAGAAAAGACCCTGGGAAGATGCCATTGAGTGCATCCGAGACCACCCAGTTTCCTCCACCACCCCCCCCCAACCCCAGTGGCAGCAAGGAGGGGCAGTTGTAGTTTCCATGCAGCCCCATCTCATGTGCTGAGTGGAAGGTGAATGGGCTGGACTGGTATTTTTAAGCGGACATCATGGTACGCTGATCTCAGACAGGTGCCAGATGTTTGGACAGAGGTGCAGCTTTTGTGCTTGCCCCAGGCGATATTTTCCTTGGCTGCACCGCTGGCCTCACCCCCCAGCCATGAACATCAAGCCCTCCTCATGGGTGCTAGCAGATAAACACGGGCCTAGAATTCTGCTCACCACATGCAGTCCTGCAGGTAGGAGGAGAGCAGCCCCTCACCTCGGTCTTCCTCACCTCCACCCCAGTGTCTCACTCCTTATTCTTCCTCATCTCTCTGACCAACCAGCCACGGCCACAAGGGAGAACTCTGGGCTCCGAGTGGAGGGCCGGCCCCAGCAGAAGGCTCTGGGAGCTAAGCCATTTAGTGAATTCCTTCTCCCTTCCCCCTCTCCTCACCTGGGTCCTGCTGGGAGGGTCAACGTCTCCCTCCGCTACCCTGAACAGTACGCTCATGGCTCAGGCTAGAAGAGAGAGCCTGAGACGCCTGACGCCGATGATAGGCTGGCCTCAGCCACGTCCATCTCACCAAGCTGGTCTGTACTCGGTCTGTACTGCGCCTTCCCAGAGTCAAACCTGTTTCCTGCCCTTGTACCCTCCCCCTGGCCTAGTGACCCCTGTCCTTCTCTGGTTCAGTTTTCCCCACCCCCACCCTCTTGGTCCCGGGCCGCCCTCCCCCTGAAGGTACAGTGCACAGCTGCCTCTAGTGGTAACAAGCCAACCCCTGCTGACTAGTGAGCCCCTGAATCACAGCGCCCAATGCCCAACTCCAGTTTGAGGACACACCTGTCAGGGTCTCCCAGGCCAGAGCTCGCTCAGCATGCTTGCTGGCAAACCTGAGTAGCCATCAGCTCACGAGCATTCGGCGCTAGTAAACCCCATCTCCGCTGATGCCCCAGGCCCAGAACAGGGGAGACAGGGGCCATCAGCGAGCTAGAGACTGCCCCTCCGAGCCTGGCCCCATCTTGACAGTTGAACAGCCTGAGTCTGGTCAGCTCTTTTTTCCCCCCCCATAAATCCTGAGAATTAAAAAAACAAACAAACATGAGAACAGGGGCATATTTAGGTCCTTCCCCTTTGCCTGAAGAATGATCAGTCTTAATGCCAGGTATCAAGTGTAAAATGGCAAGGGTTAATAATTTGTGCAGCCTGGAGTACACTTCCAAAAAGTAAAGGCTGCCACACACGGTCGCAGAGCAGAAGTCCAAGTCCAAGTCGCCAGAATCATCAGACAGAAACGAACCTTCAAAGGTCAGCTAGTTCATTCCCAGACTTCAGACAGTGCAACCTTTAAATTGCCCCCAGAAGGATGAAAAGCCTGTCGGCCCACCCAGCAGACCTTGACTGCACTTAGCAGGGGCCAAACTTCATTAAGCCTGGGGGACTCCAAGCGGGGCACACAGCTGGCTCTCTGGTCTCTTGCGATGGCCCATGAGACCCCGGCAGCTCACGTCTCGGATCACAGAGACATAGCCCAGCTGTCTCTCCTACACCCTAGAGCTGTGGCTCATGGCCTGTTTAGACTCATGAGCCCTTACAGGATTTGACAGGAAAAATGTGTATCTATAAATTCTATGTGAATGCTGTAAACAAAGGAACCCTGGTGGCGCTTGTGGTCAAACACAAGGTTGCTAACCACAAGGTCAGAAGTTCGAACCCACTAACTGCTTCATGGGAGAACAAGGAAACAGTTTACTTCCATAAAGGTTACAGCCTTAGAGTCCCTCTGGGCAAACTCGTTTGTCCTATAGGGTCACTGAGAGCAAGTCAATTCAATGGGGGCAGGTTAGTTGGTTTGTGGATACCATATATACTCTGGTATAAGCCAACCAGAATATCAGCCCAGGCACCTAATTTTACCACAAAATTGCATTAAAAATGTGCTGAAAAACTCGGCTTATACACGAGTATATACGGTAATTTGGAAGCCCCTCAAAGCCCACCTGGGCTCCTGCCCATGAGCCAATCGCCCTGGGTCTGCGGCTGACTGCCTTCTCCTTCTCCGCAGAAGTGCTTCAGCTCAGCCTGGCCCCTGAGGAGAGGGTCCGAGTGACCACGGTGACGGTAGGGCTGAGCACAGTGCTGACCTGTGCTGTCCGCGGAGACCTGCGGCCACCCATCGTCTGGAAGCGCAACGGGCTGACCCTGAACTTCCTGGACTTAGAAGACATCAATGTAAGTCACCGGCCATTTGTTCTAAGCTGAGGGCCTCTCTGGATGAAAGAAGGCTGCCCTACTCGTGGTGGCAGGGGCAGTTCTCTCGTGATGCCCCATCCCTGCTGCCTCTCAGGCCTGAAACCCAAGCCCCGCCTATGCAGAGAGCAGTGGTGTGGTGGCCATATGGCGGGTGGTCACGCCCAGGATAAGCTGAAGGGGAGTTGACCGGAGATGCAGTGGCTGGGGCAGGAGGCCTCTGGGTGGGGCCTGCTTGAGGAAAGGTTGGAGGTGAGGGCATGGAGAGGAATGGTCTGTGTGTGGGGAGCTATGTGACTTAGGGGAATGGCAGGGGGAGAGGTACGGCCCTGCAGGAAGTGGGGTTCTCTAGACCAAGGCAGAGCCCATCTGGCTGGGGAGCTTGAGCGGGGTGCTAGGCCGTAACGCTAGTGGGATGTGGACTCTCCCCATGAGGGCAGAGGCATTCTCCATGGAAGGCAGAGGGGAGCTGACTCTCTGGCCGGGTTGGTTGGAGGTCAGGTGCCAGGTGAGGAGGTGGAGAGAAAGCAGGTGGAGGCACCTTGCCCTGATGGCCTTGTGCGCTGGGTGAGGGGGTGGGTTTGATGAACTGAGTGGTTCTGTGTGGAAGAAGAGGGCAGCTGAGCCCACATAACCTGACATAATAAGTAGGTGGGGTATTTCTGTTCCTTGGGGAGACAGCCAGCTTGGGCTGGGGGCCCCAGCATCCCCCTCCACCTCCCCACCCCTCCTGCTGCACTAGCTTTGAGCAGGTTCTTAACTCACTTAACCCTCAGTGAATTAACCTGTGAGAAAACCTCCTGGTCAAGCATCTGCAGGATCGCCGCCCTTTGGCCAGTGAGGGTTGGATGGAATCATTCAGGTACATTGATTGGCCCAGAGGTGGCTTCCCAGAAGTTCATGTGAGAAGACAGTCACCCAGGTAGGGAGCTGACAAGGCAGCTGACAGGTCTCAGGCAGGAGAGGGACACCCCCGTCTCCTTGGCTCGGGACAGCTGCTGTGCTATGGAATGCTTGACCCAGAGGAGGAAGACTAGTGCATTGGTCGAGTGGTCAGTTCTGCTAGCATCTCTAAGGGGCTGGGATAGGGACTGGGGCCGAGGGAGCTCTCTGTGTGGTCCCGTGTGTTGAACTACCTACCACCAAGGAGCATGCTACACCGCCAAAAGGAGAGCTTCATTCCAACTGGAACCCCATTCCAACTATCAGAACTTCCCTGCAATGGAGTGAGCTGGAGGCAGTGAGCTCCCCATTCTCAGAGGCATTCAAGCTGAGGCGGGGACTGTAGCCAGCATTGCTGTGAGGCGGCTGCTAGCCACCCAAAGCAACCAAACTCCATGCCTTTGATGATCCCTCTGACTCTGACACTGTGTTGTGGGGAGACAGGCCCAGCAGGAGTTCTGCAGGCGAGCCTGGAGTCAGGACCCCCTGACTGACGGTGCCTGGAGATCCTGGGGGGCACATCTGGGAAGAGGGGTCGCTCCAGAGGCTATGTTCCTGCTCCCCACTGGTCACACTGGGCAGGATGGGTTCCTTGCGGCTTCCCACGGTGGTGAGTGGAGTCTGTGTCATGCACATCTCCGACTGGCCGTGCCAGCACAACCCTGGTGGGGACCTGAGTGTGCGGAATCTGAGCCTGAGACGGCCAGGATTCGTCTGAGAGCTTAGCAAGCAGGTACAGGCTGCTGTCTGTAACGAGTAGGCCTGTGTGTACATTGAGTGCACAGGTTTGTGTCATAAAGGCTCTCGGCACACATGCCTGACGTGGGGACATAGCTATGGAGCCATCTCGTCAGTGGACGTGAATGGGAGCCAAGACGAGGTGCTGTGCCTGTCTGAGCACCCCTGCGCACTACGCGGTGCTCCTCTTAGAAGACGTGAGCAATAAAGGCAGCGGCTGCAGTCCTCCTGACGTACTTGCCATCGGTTAATTAAATTACCACGCGTGTTCCTTCCCTCCCTCGAACATGCCTCCAGCGCCAATGCAATTGCATGTCTGCTTTTTCACAATAAGGTTAGCAATTTGGGTAATTGTGGGTGCAACAAGAGATTAATGGCCCCTCATTACGAAACACTTGCTGCTTGTGGTCAAGTCAGCAGCCCACAAACAGGAGGGCCTGGTGCTTCTTAGCAACCCCCACGAGAGGGCGCAGGTCCGAGCCAGCCCCACTGGGCTCCAGACCTGCGTTCACAAGCCAGCTCACGTGCACCCGCACGCACGCTCACAGAGAGGAAGGCAGCTAGTCTTCTAAGGGACTGGGCTGAAGTCTCTGCTGTGTCACTTGCTAGTGAGTGACCTTGGAGAGGGTCCTTAGCTTCTCAGTTTGCTCATCCGTGAGATGGGATAGATAATAGTGTCTCCATCGTAGGATTGTACCCAAACACAACCCTCCTCCGATTCGGAGTCAGGGCTACCTTATGTAAGGTTTTCGAGACTACATCTTTTTCTTTTTTTCAGAAGCAGACAGTCTCACCTTTCTTCCAAGGAGCGGTTGGTGGATTTGAACTCCTAACATTTTAGTTAGCAGCCCAGTACTTAACCCACTGTGCCACCATACCTCTCTTCATAGGATTAGCAAGCCCAAAACCCACTGCTGTCAATATGGTTCTGTCTCTTAGTGACCCCATGTAGGGCTTCCAAGATGGTAAATCTTGAAAAACATTTGTCCTGCACCTTGAACCACCGACCTTGTGGTCAGCAGCTCAACACCTATCTTAGGGTGCCACCAGGGTGCCCGTGGAACGTGAGTCAGCCACACCACCTCACTGACACTGAGTCGATGCTGACTCCTAGCGATGCTATAGGACAGGGTAGCACTCCCCCTGGGGGGTTCCAAGACTTTAACTCTTTCTAGGAATAGAAAGCCCGGCCTTCCTCCTGCGGAGCTGCTGGTGGCTTTGAACTGCTAACCTTACACTAGCAGCCCAGCAAGTAACCACTATGTACCTGGGTTCCTTTCAGCGTACGATCGTGAGGAGCACATTAGAAGAGGCATGTACGTTCCGTGTTCCTCCCAGTCACTCTCCTTACTGTCATCCTGCTAGTACTGCATCGCTCTCAGCACCTCGCTGCCAGTGTCCCCAGGGAGCCTCCCCCACCAGCTGGAACCAAGGTAGCCCTGCAGCCCTCAGTCAGGGCCACCGCCGTCCATGTCAGCGGAGACCCCTGGGGACAGAGCCACCTGCGGCAAATTCCCGGGCCCTGTGGGGAGGGTGGCAGGGGGCGGCGGGAGGGTGAGTCAGCACACCCTCTGTGCATGGTACATGCACAGTCTCAGGCTAGGTACATGCTCGATGTGTCCGGTTCCGTGCCTGGCACACTTGAGGTGTTCGTGAGAGGTCGCCCCACCCTGGGAGCAGGGGCTGGAGCCTGGATGGGGCCAGAGCCAAGGCAGCAGGTGTCACGAGGCAGGTTTGTAACAAGAATCGCTCAGAGAGGAAGCCGGCTCTGGGCAACAGTGCTACAGCAGAGGTTTCAGGATGCCCAGGCCTCTCCGAGCCCAACTATCAGGGCACAGTGATTAGCCACTGGCATGGGGATCCTGCCACGGACAAGAAGCAGGCCCGCCCACAAATCTCAAGGCACGGGAGCTTAGCACACACCGCACGGCGAGGTGGGGGCTCTTTGCTTTGTCATTGTGTGAGACATCTTGATTGGCAACAAAATATTAATCACTTTCCTGCTCCTCCTTTAATGAGACGCTTTCATGGGCAACAAAATATTAATTTGTCTTGTCTTATCTGTTAAGAATTCTGTTAATGAACTCAGTCACAGCGCTGTTACAGAATGCCATGCTAATGACACATGTAATTAAACTTTTCTGACTTGCAAACACTGAGGGCGCCTTGCACGGCAGAATAATATTTGATCAGAAAGTAACTCTGCCCCCCTCCCCGCTAGGCCAGAGCCAAGTGAGAAGAAACACTCGGGGGTGGGCGTGGGGAGGGGGCCCGAGCCCACAGACGTCCCTGGCAGAAGCACTTACGAATGATGTGCACGGAAGCCAGTCCGGATGGAGCCCCGGGAACCCGGCCTTGGGACGCACTTCCTGCGCTTGAGGCAGTGGGAGCCGCACACAAGTGCCCAGGGTGGTGCTCCAGTCTGGAAAGGAGGAAGCTTTCCCGCCAGGGATGCTTGATAAACGAGAGAGTGGGGAGCCTGGAGGGGGAGCTGGGGGCCTGAACACGAGGGCCTTGAAGGCTTGACCTTCAAGCGTCTTGGCCGTCGGCTTGTGAACAGTAGGGAGCATAGATTTTTCATCAGGGCACATGTGTGTCCTGCAGGACTCTCCAGCCACTGCCAGGGTAGGATTCCAAATGCCCCCCAAGGAGGGCCATGGGTCTCCAAATAAAGTGGGGCGCAGACTTGAGGGGAGCCCTGCTGGGACTCTTGGAGTCTTTCGCCTTCACTTCACCCTGGCTCGCTCGAGCCTGGCTGTGCCCAAGCTGCCCGCGGCAGCCATCCATCGGGAACTCCCTCTTCGTGGCTGTGGCTCAGTTCACAGCACCATCTGAGCTTCCAGAAAGTCCAGCCTGGCCCTGCTCTCTCCGACAACACAGTGCCATGTGGAGGAGGGGGCGCGGGGCCGAGGTCTGCCACACTCAGAGCCTCCGAGGACAAAGCTGATCCTCAGGAAGGACTTGCCACCCCCAGCTCGGTCTTCGGGGCCGGCGAGAACCTGGTGGCCGGAGGTATCCAAGCAGAAGCCAGGCCAAGTGACACTTGGAGGCCTCTCTCCTCCCTGAGGGCCACAGCAAGGCATTTTGGAAGCAGCAGCCTTGTCCAGGGAGGGAGTCCTCACAGAAGTCAGAGAATGCCCCCGGCCCCTCGCTTTTCACACGCCCACCCTCGCTCAGCCTGCCCTGCAGCACAGAGCCTCCCTATAGCCCCTAGCTCCTTCAGGCTAAGAGCCAAGCTTTGGTGGGCTGTGGCAGATGCACGCACTGCTCCCCTGCCCTGGCCTCCGTCCTCAGTTCGGGGA